TAATACAAAACCCACTAAAAAAGTTTTAAGAAATAATAAAATTGTTTAGACCCCAAACTAAAGTGAAAACAAAAAGTAAAAAGTGAAAAAATACATGGTTGAGCAGGTTTTGACACCGCCATCTTTGGCGATTTTTAATTCTTATTTGGCTTAGCCAAATGACTTGGAATTTGAGAACTCACAGAAAAACATTCAGAAAAAAAAGAAGTATTTTTAGGCCCCGAGATAATTTTTGGCGGGGGCCGAACGTCGTCGGGTTCAGACCCCGAACGCCCGTACGTACGGAGGTCTGCCCGGGGACCTCCGTATGTACGGGCTGGTGACCCTGCTTGTAAGTTATTCTCTTAATTTCTCAGCTACTCCCTGGCAGTTATTGCCCGGCGACGATGCTCGGGAGTGTTGACGTGGTTGTCGGCACCACTGCCCGTCTTTCCCAGTCATCGATCTTTCAAAAATAAGTGCATTTTATTCATGTATTTAGCTCAGGCTTTTTTTTTTTTTTTTTTTTTTTTTGAAGGCTCAGTTGGTAAGGCATGCAACTGGCATTCCGGACGTCTTGGGTTCAATCCTCATTGCCGTTATGTACCTTCCTGGGCAAGTTTGCCGCCCGCCAACTAGAGATAGGCCATTGGTTCCCCAGAGTGGCATTGAGCCGAGAGTGCAGATGGGTTTTTTTTTTTCTGAGTCTAGAGAGGTGGATTGATGATTACACAGGTGTCTTGGGGCGAAGAGAGAGAAAAGTCCTGGAGGTAGAAGAAGGGGAAAGCTGAGAAAAGACATTGCATCTGGGCCCAAACCTTGTAGCAATTCGTTTGTTGGACCTTGCATGGAGTTGAATGAAGTTCAGTGAACTAAGTACTTGATTTTCTCCCCCTCCTCCTCCTCCTTCTCTCTTTGTCTTGGGGTGATGGTCGGATTCCCTACCTCGTAGCAATTCGTTCATTGGGCCTTGCGACTTTTTTCTCAGACTTGGGTTCTTCATCACAACATGTTGTCCACCGGCGACTTTGCCACTTAGTGACTTGTGATCAAATTGTCCATTGTCCATCGTTCTTTTGCCGCCTTTGCACCTCCTCCCCCTTTTACTCATGTTTTTTTGTTTCCCCTCGCAGAGTAGTCATGTCTGTTCTCTTTTGTGTATCCTTCACATTGTTTCTACCACTTTCCTCAGGGTATCTTATTTCCTTCGATGCTGACGAAACACTCCTCTCTCTCTCTCTCTCTTTCTCTCTCTTTCAGAGAGAGTGTTGGGGGGGAGGGGGGGGGGGTTGGCACTGAGGGAAATCGGATTGCTGTTTTTTCTTTTTTTTCCTTTGTGCATTTAAACAGCCGCTGTCTTTCCCGCTGTTGGAAAAACAGGAAATAGCCTGCTCCTAAAAAAATTGGGGGTTGTTGCCCGGCGACGGCCGCCGTTGATAAATCTCATCGGCGACCATTGTTTCGTTTCGGCCTCCTGAAATATTGGAGGTCCAGCCAAGGCTGACATGGGAAATGGTTGTGTGCTTTAAGGTTCTAAGGAAGGAATGGGACGAACAGTTTTGTCAAATTGGAGCCAAGGGACCATTGTCTGCGAGAAGGTTAACAACAGTCGTATTTTTCATCACCACTTCAGGACACTCTTCACCACTTTAGGATGCAGCCTTCCTAAACAGGTGGTTTTCAGGGTCTTCGGAGTTTTCACCACTTCAAGACCATTCAGGATTTTCAGACTGCCCAAACTCTCAGTTGACCACTTCAGGACACCCTTCACCACTTCAGGATGCAGCCTGCCTAAACAGGTGCTTTTCAGGGTCTTCGGACCTTTCACCACTTCAGGACCATTTAGGATTTTCAGACTGCCCGAAATTCTCACTTCATAATTTTTATTTTTAAATTTTTTGCTACCCGATAACCGTTTGTACATTGTCTGTCATGTACGTGGGAGTTTGTGCCAGAAGTATCTGGTATCTGACGTGTTGATCCATAAAGATGTACCTCCTCTACTTACCTCCTGATGGGTGAGGAGTCATCTGCCTACCGTCTTCCGCTGAATAAAATTCAGTTCAATGCACCCTCATTATGACTTTTTTCGGGCTGGAAAAATGACTGTATACTAAACATCCATAACGAGGGTGTGTTGTGTTTGAGGGAAGATGGTAGCAGGCTATTCTACCACCCTGCAAATGTGTTAGGAGTCCTTTCCTTAGAACTCATGGAATGGCCACAAGGTGACATGAGGTAGCTTGCCTATGTAGGGTGCAGTTTTTTTAAGTGTTTTGTTGTGTGTAAGGTGTATTGTGTGTAAGGTGTATTGTGTGCAAGGTGTAGAATGTGAAGTGTTTGCATATTCACTACTCTTACTAGTGGTACTTTTTAAAATCACTGCAGGTTCGGATTGATAATGGTTTTTGTTCTGTTCTCTTTTTCTAGAGTGGAGAATAGAAAGTACTACAAACAGCCCAATAAGATTTTAATACCAGGATTAGCCCTACCAGAATGAACTTGTGCAGTTTCTCGGGTGGACACTGCAGGTATGGGTGTCTGCACGAAAAAGGTGCACGGGCCATCAAACTCGTGCGAGGACAGCCAGAGAAAAAACAAGCAATTTCAGCGGGTTTCCCTTGCCCAACACAGGGAGCTCGGGCTCGAGGGAGCATCACGCAAGACCCGTTGTTCCTTTCATAAAGAGTACAGAAAAAAAAAAAAAAAAAACAAGTTTTGAAACTGGTTGGTATACTACCATAATGAAGTTACCTTTCATTTTTTTGTATTTGGACAGGTTTTGTTTTGGCTTCTTTTGGAGGTTTCAGAAGTTTAATGCGTTAGCTTTCAAAACAAAAACTGAAGTGGAATTAATCGCTGGAGTAAAAGGATTCGAACCTTTTGCATTTCGGTATTAAAAAACGATGTTTTTTCACTTGGGTATACTCCAATGAGATAACGCGACCAAAGATTCAAGGGTTGTGTTCCTCTCCCTCCAGCGGTTGACCAATCGTCGGGCTGACCTGAGTCTCTGACCCATTTCCAACCGAAGTCTCATCTTCAAGTTCCACCTTGTGTTTTCGACCGAAGTCTCAATGAGCAGTACCAAGACCCATTTCCAACCGAAGTCTCAATGAGCAGTACCAAGCCCCACAGTTGGAGTTCGACCTGTGGTTAGACCCCCGCGACCTCTGGTTAGACCCCCGACACTCTGGTAAGTTGATGGAGTTTTCGATGATCCTACATTGGTTAGTAAGACTATGAAGAACCTAGATTCTCTTTTCTCAATAAATTTATAAGATTGTAGTCCCTAATATCCATATTGTTATAGCGGGATACGAACTGACGAGTTGTTTAGTAAGAATCTCATGTTACATGTTCACAGCATGTAAGGGGTGCGTTACACACCACAGACAGGTTTTTTCAACGTCGGATGTACCGTTTTTCCATGTGATGGAAGCAATAGTGCGAAGAGTGTTTATTTTTTTGGAGGGTTATGAAAGGCGGCAGAAAGCTTTTTGTTGGGCGGAGGATAGGTCAAAGTGAATTGTGATAGTTTAGGCAACAGGGACGTTGAAACGGTTGTGCGAAGAGTGTGCATTTTCAAGGAGGAGCACACAGGGGGGCACAAAGTGTTTGTTGGTCGGAGGATAGGTCGAATAGAAATGTGGCATTTTAGGTGAATTGTCCTTGTTAACGCCTTCTTTATCAATCAAGCATATACAAACTACGGGTTGCGCACCCTTGCCCTCACGGTAAGTCAATAGAACATTACCCTTTATCTTTTTTTTTTTAGGTCAGTGCTTGCCCTTGTGTTCCCCGCCATTGACATGATGAATGTTGCAGGTCTCTCTCTCTCTCTCTCTCTCTCTCTCTCTCTCTCTCTCTCTCTCTCTCTC